TCAGCCAGATGGTCAAGATCAACATGAACAGCAACAAATCAGATCACTAGCCCATCCCCTTCCTACGGCACAGTCCTGCAGGGCATAGCAGAACACTCCTGTACTCCCAGCAGTTCAGGAGGCTGAGGCAGGAGGGTTGCAAATTCAAAGCCAGCCTCAGCAACTTGAAGGGGTCCTAAGTAACTTATCGAGACACTGTCTCAAACTAAAATATAAAAGGGCTGTGGATGTGGGTTTAATCTCAATACCAAAATACAAAAAATAAACAAACAAAAAAAGAAGAAGAATGGCACTATTCTCTGTGGTTTCCTCCTCAAAACCCATACCCCCAATCTAATCATGATAAAAAAAAAATTAGAAAAATCTTCAAGTAATAAGGTCACCAGTAAAAACAAAGTCTGAGAAACCGTCACAGGTAAGAAGAACCCGGGGAGACATGATAGCTAAAAGGTAATGTGGTACCCTGGATGGATCCTGTAATAGAAAAAGACATTATGTACTAAGAAAATCTGAATAAAATGTGGACATTGGTTTATAATAGTTTCATTAATTATAGCAATTATATCATATTAATATTGAATATTAATAATAATTTTTAGACTTCAGCCTTTTTAATAAGCATGTAGAGATATTTCATTGTTATTTTAATTTGCATTTCCCTAATAACAAATGTTGGGCATCTTTCATGCACGTATTTGCCATCTATATATCTTTTTTGATGAAGTGTCTACTCAGATCTTTTTGTCCATTTTTTAATTAAGTTTTTTTTTTTTTTATTGTTGAGTTTCAAGAACTAATTGTACATTCTGGGATAAGTTCCTGATAAGACAAGTGTTGAAAAAATATTTTCTTCCGGTCTGTGGCTTATCATTTCATTCTCTTAACAGTGCCTTTAACACAGCCTATGTTTTTCATTTTAATATACTTTAACTTATCAAATTTTCTTCTACAGATCATGATTTTTGTGCCATATCTAAAAACTCTTTGTCAAGCTTAAGGAAATGTTGAACTCTCTTCTTTTTTCTTGAAGTTTTATAGTTTTGCAGTTTTACATTTAGATCTGTGTTCCATTTTTGAGTCAATCTTTGAATCTTCATGAAACATGTCAAGTAAAAATTAATCAAGTATATTTGTCTCAATATTATTTTAAAACCTGTCCATAAAATGAATAACATCCCATAATATTTTAATGACAAAAATATAAAAGATATAAATGAATTCTACCAAGTGTAAATTATCAAAAGACAAAATTACAACAGACTTAACGATCTCAGTAGGCTTTTGTGATTCTAGAATCAGACAATATCTCCTTCTATAAGATAGAATAGAATGAGTAGTTTCCCAGCAGCTGAGCAGAGAAAGCTGAGTTTTTGGATAGAAAAGGGCTAAGAGAAGAAACAGAATAAACTTATGAATTGGTTGTTTCAAAGTTACTTTGGTTGTAAAGGTTAAATCAGAAAAGACTTCCTAATGATGCTGCCTAAAATTGGCCTATTATGGGATTTGGCTATTATCTCTCTTCTGTTTTCTCAGAAGTTCAAATAAATAACTTAGTTTCAGCTCGTTGATTTGGAGCCTCAGCAAGAACAATTCCTTTTTGGTGTGGTCCAGTGCAGAAAGCTCAGTCCAAAGCAATGGTCTCTTGTGAATTTTATTTAACATAACATATAGAAACATATAATCTTTACTTAATGATAATTATATTTAACAATCAATTATAAAACTACCACGACCTGCCTTCTTCTTCAACGTCTTCTCATGTTCACTAATTCCGGCTTCCAGCCAGTCTTTCTCTTCCTGAATCACACCAAGGTCACACAGGACCTAGACAAGAGGAGCCTAGACAATTTCCTGTGGGCGATTTTCAGTTCAATTTGTGTTTAGGGGCCTCAAGGAGGTCTAACATTCAAGAGCCTTCCCTTTTCACTTGGGGAAGGAGGTGCAATTAGCAAATTGTAACTGTTAAGAAAAGGTATACCAAGATCTTGATGTTCTTTTCCACCAGATACATTTATTCGTGTTTCAACAAGAGAAGAGAACATGGAAAAATTGATAAAATTCCCATGAGATGTCTCTTCTAGATCAGAAGTAATACTACCCTGCGGTTCAGTGTTTCTGTTTGAAAATCAAAAGGGATCTGACACTTAGTGCCTCCAAAGAGATGAGGAAACATTACCCTTGCTTCTGCTTCAGGTGTGAGCTTACTTCATACCCACTGGTCCCACCTCAGTCTCTTAGTGTGTCTGTGGGCTCCTTTGCTCAGGGGAGCAACTTCAACATCCAGGACTAAGCAGCCCTTTGGTGCAACTCACCCTTGGCAGAGAGTTGAAAATAGTCCGAGTAATAGGTCAATACTGTTTTTCAAGGGGAATAGAGGAGCCTTCAAAATACTTGGACTAGTCTGTCTACTGGCATTTGAATTTTCCATCTCATTATGTTTAAAAGAAGCAAGCAAGATTAGGTTTAGCCCAGAAAAAATGGTCTGATGTCTGTCAAATCTAAGACATCTCCTCCTAGAAAACTCTTCTCCTGGCTGGTTCTTATTTAAGATTCTCCTCTTCATCTTACCACCTCATTTTAAAAATTACTCCATTCATACAGTCACTGTATTCCATTTCATGTGTGGGTCTTATTAATATCAGAATTATAATATTTATTTTCTTTCTGTCTTTCAAACTGCTCTTCTACTTGCCTTCCTGCTTTAGGATGTAGTTTATGAGAGCAGGGACTTAAGCTGTTTTTTTCACCACTAGGACTTGGAATGAACAAAGTTCTCAAAGAAAAAGTTGAAGTTAGTTAATATAACAGAATGAATGAACGAATGAAAAAATGATAGATTATAAGCTGTGCATCTTTTCCTCCAGAGAACCTAAAACAATAGGTGTTTAAATGTATTAATAAGAAAAATGCACCAAAAGGAATGTAGAAGCCAATGAAGCTAAAAGGTCTTCCCCAGATGGCATTTATAAAGCAATGATGGTGTCCAGTTTCCTCTTACAGTGAAGAAAGCTAAAATCATTACCTAATTTATACATTTTGAATATTTTAATAATATCTCTCAGAAGCCATGCTTCTCAAATGCCAGGTAAAAGGTCCAGGAAAAAAAGGGTCAGAATGGTGTCAAATTTTGGTATTATAATAAATTCAAATGAAATTCTCAAGTATACATAAAACATTCAAAGACCCTTAGACATCTAACAAAAGAGATCATATAAAAATAGGGTGATGGAGCTGGGGCTGGCTGGGGCTCAGCAATACTGCACTTGCCTGGCATATGTGAGGCACTGTGTTTGATTCTCAGTACCATATATAAATAAAGGTCTATCAACAACTAAAAAATAAAACTAAAAAATTTTTACAAAATTGGGTGAGCACCAGAAATAGATTTATAGACCCATGTGATGTTTGAGCTGAGGGCGCATTAGAGAGCCCCAAATTTTAAACAAAAGGGAATAAGACTAGTAAGGAAACGTGCTGTGGAATAGGTGGGATTCTAAAAGCACTTTATTTACATTGTACCAAAATAACCATTCCACAGTTAAAAAAAAAAACACTATCATTGTTATTTTGCCATGACATAGATCTGTCACTTGTTTTGATAAAGCTCTGAAAGCAGGAAAATGTTCCAAACATTCATGATTGTCTTCCATCCTGAACGAGTCACCACCAGCAATGACAGCCAGACCACCTTGTCACTCCCAACCAGCTAGCCGAGTGATTGCAATCAAACAATTAAAAGATGTACAGATTCTTGAGTAAATTCTTATTTCTTGGCCTTGTTTTAAAAGTGCATGTTATTTTAACAAATTCAGAACAAAATTCTGAAATTGTTGTATTTCTTTTCTTTAGTTTTCTTAAAAAGATACTCTCATGATGAAACTATGATTTCTCTTTCAGAGATATATTTTAACTAGCAATAGAATTCAGGACTTGGTATCCCTAGATTTAGGTACTTGTGTCCAGGACAAGTATGTAAATCATAACATAATTAATTGGCTGCCAAAAGAGAGATCTTCCAAGTTGTTTTAGGAGTCCGTCATTTCTATTGTGACAATAAACTCAGACATAATGAAGTGGTCTTGATGAATCGGAAGAACTTCTCTCTTCACTTCATTTTTATTTCATTTTTACAACAGCTTTGGGATTGATTTAACACATTATTGCAGAAGAAAGCATCCATAAAACAGCTTTAGAAGAGTGAGAAATGTGTTCCCTTTAGGTTTTTATACTTTATTTTTTATTTTTTTAATTTTTTTTAGGTTTTTATACTTTAAAATGGTATTCAGATGATTTTTAATTACTACAAAAGCATTGAGATGTTAATACACTTTGTAGAAAAGGCAGGGATGCTATTTCATCCATCCTTTTCTGCAGTGAATTTCAACTCTAAGAAAATTATTTCTTTTGATCCACTCTGATAGCATGTAATAAAAGAACAATAAAACATATGGCTCAATTACCACCGCTTCTCATCAAGCATGAATTAATGAATATCAAATTATTATTAATTGTTTTTTCTGGCTCCTTCTCCATAGGACAATTATACATTGCTGTATTTTGATAAGCACTTTGTGTTTAACACTTTGTGGAACAGACTCTAAGAGGGACAGATGCATGAAATTATAACACAAATCAATCATTCTTTGAATTTATCACCATTTGCATTATACATGGTCATCCTTTAACCTCCCTAGTTTGTATCAGTTTCTCAAAACTGCTTAAAACCTCCCTAGAATTCTACCTGCACCTCAATTAAACTCCCTTCAAGAAACAGTTGCTATGTGTCTACAAAATAGTTTATAAATTCAAGTTCTCACTAAGACTGGTTTCTCACATAATTATTGAGTTTTCATTTTCTTCAGAAAATGTTCTTTAAAAACAGAAGCTATAGCTTAAACAATTGAAAAATAACAGCACCTCACAGAATGTAAGACATTGTGCTAAGTATAATTGATAAAACATATGTTAGTAAATAACATTTATAGACACACCACAAAAAATTCTGCATACTTGATAGTTCATTTTATTTTTATAAGCTTTCTGTAAATACAAAGTGCTACACAATAGGTATGTATGTAGAATGTGTTTGTAATCCATAACAATTACTTCTCATAGATTATTTGTACACCCAGACTTTGAAATGCATGCAAAGAAAATTTAACAAATTATAGCATGTTAATTATACATGTTATATGATTTTACCTATTATCTATAAATCTATTTCCTTTTAAAAAATAGTCTATGAAAACTATTCTTCTGAAAAATTGAAGGATGATATTAAGGTCAAATTGCTCATATGTCCCATGTAGTTCAATCAACTTAACAAACACACATACTGACATATTTCTAACAAGCAAACCCAAATTCTAGAATCAGAGAACCAGAGTAGCAAAAAGGGACCTTAGAAGTCATTTTGTCCTATGCCCTTCATTTTACAAATAATGTCACAGAGATCTAGAAAGTTTAAGTGATTTTCTAAGGTCCATACAACCTTTTATGTTGACATCTTTGTGCAAAACTTTATAAGAAAATTTCTATCAGCATTTCTTTTGCAGATTAAAAAAGCATATGTTACTTTCTGTAGTATATTTGTCAAGATTTCAATAATGACTGTGAATCCAAATTCTCAGTGGAATAAAAGTGAATAAATGAGAAATTTGGTAACAATCAAAACCATAATGCACAGTGAACATATAAAGCAGGGATGGACTTTTGACATTGGTTACTAAAACCACCCGAATTAAATATATATATATAAGTTCTAGATGGACACAATACCTTTATTTTATTTATATATTTTTATGTGGTGCTGTGGATCGAACTCAGTGCCTCACACATGCTAGGCAAGTGTTCTATGACTGAGTCACAACCTCAGCCCCCCAATTTTTTTAATCACTAAATCTAACCAGATACAAGGTTTTATGTATTTGACCTTACTGAGGGGAATTAGATTATTTATGCAATAGCAGACTTGTTGATTTTATACAAGAATTAATCTTCAGTGTAAAAGCTTTTCTAGATTACATACTCTCAAAATAAAACTCGTAACTTTTAATTTCTTAATGTTTTTCATCTTGATTTCCATGTGCCATCATCACTGAATCCATTTTGCTGAAAAAAAAGTGAAAAAAATTAGATATACAAATTCAGCACAAAAATAAGTCTACAATTAAGATTTTAAAAATCAATCTTTCATCTAGGGGAGAGTGGTGGATTAGGCATTCCACCTTTCCTTTCACTCCTGAATTCACTGATGTCCCTTTGGGCCACATGTAAAGTACCAGATATCAGATATGCATATTCATAAAATGCTTGAGAGTCATCTTGACAACTTATATGTACTATAAAAAATGCAGTGCCTATGAAGTGCACATGGGCAGAGGGGAAGGCACAAAGTCTCAGTCCTTGGGTAACCACACCCCCTAAAGTGTCATGGATTCCCGGGAGACCAAGTTATAGAGCTACCACCATGCATATCAAGACCTATGATATAATGTTGGATCAGGATACGGCTGCTAAATTAGAAAGAAAAGCAAATATGAGAGCTGTCTTGGGGAAGCAGAAAATAGAAGAAGTATGAATATAATTAGGTTTATTCTTGAAATTGATTCTGCAGCCTGATGGAACGTGGGTTTCTGAATATTTTTCAGAGCATTTTCCAGATGTAGCCTCCCAATAGCTCATTAAGCTCACACATTTGTCATCAAGCTCCGTACTTTGGATCCCATGTAGGAATCCCAAATGTTCCTCTTTTCATTCACTGTGTCAACAAGATAAGGAAAAAAGTGTTGTTCAAGTTCTCTTCAATCTCATTTTGGTTATTTTATCTACTTAGTATTAAACCTAAAAATAAAATGTAGATACTGGCTTGTAAAAGTTGATCAAATGTCAAAGGACTTTATTTTGCTAACTTATGTCCTCTGTTCATCTTTTCAGTCAGCTTTTATACCTTTCTCACTTAGTTTATAGAAAATGTTCATTGAAGATACATATCCTTAATGGTTTCTCCTCACATTATCAATTATGATATGAGTCTAATTTATACTAATATTTGATTTATATTGTTAAAAACATTTAAATGTTATAGTTAATAAAGAATCAACTCTATTTTTTTTTTCATTTAAAAGTAACATTAAGGGCTGGGGTTGTGGCTCAGTGGTAGAGAGCTTGCCTAGCACGTGAGACACTGGGTTTAATCCTCAGCACCACATAAAAATAAATAAATAAATGAAATAAAGGTATTGTGTCCATTTATAACTAAAAATATTTGAAATTAAAAAAAGGATTTATTATCAGGCACAGTGGTGCACACTTGTAATCCCAGTTACTTGAGAGGCTGAGGCAGGAAGATTGCAGGTTCAAGGCTAGCTTCAGCAACTTAGAAGGACCCAAAGCTATTTAGCAAGATTCTGTCTTCAAAATAACAAGTAAAAAGTGCTGGGAATGTAGCTCAGTGGTAAAGGCCCTGGGTTCAATTCCTAGTACAAAAAAACAAACAAACAAAACAAAAAAAGGCATTTACTGTACTGACAAAATTATCTAAAAAAATATATATATTCAAGTGTAAATGTAAAAGGTCACTCACAGAAATGGACTTCAATTTAAAAAATCAATTTATCAGCAAAGATCTATTTTTGTTTGAAAAAAATGGGAAATTTTTTAAAATAAATGACTTCTTTCTTAGTTGTATCTATGTCCTATGTAATATCAGAAGATAATATAAATATTGACTGATTTTATACCAGTAACAAAATATTATCATAGTATAACTATATGCTGCTAAACTGTTAACTAAATATAATTAATTAATAAAATATCTTACTTTATTTCAATACATCATTTTCAACAATACTCAATGTACATTAGTAATAAAAGTGATTGTTCTTTACAGATCCTGACACTTACCCAGGACCTTGGAGTAGCAAGGTTCACAGTGTATTGTCTGTCTATAAATCCAAATACTGTCACCTGCTTGTAGATTTTCCAAAGGCTGTTTGCATATTTCACACTAAAGGAGAAAAACACAAATATAAAGTTTACATCATAGATTAAGTCTAGATTCTTGGAGGAACAAGGTAGAGAAGCCTTTTCAGTTCATTCAAGATCACCTTCCATAGCCTCACTCCAATGCAGCCTCAAAAAACACCACAGGAAATTTGAGAGTATCCTGGTCCTATAATCCAGTGGAAAACTTTTCAAATGGACTCTCATGTCCTCTTTCTATCATGCTGGTATATTTCAGGGACTATCTACCACTGAAGTTATCTACTTAACTCCCAAGGGAGCAGATACAATAGTTTTTATATTGGTTATGCCAGGGACAGGATGTTCACCCAATATCTCAAACAAAAATACAAGGTAGCATTTATGGTTTTCTTACATAAGGTTTAGGGGGAAAATTTATTCTGAGTTGTGTTGGGTGACAGAAGCAGGAAAGATCTGGCCTCTCTTTTAGACCCTTCCACTATTGATTGGCTGAGTTCCAAGCAAGAGGCAGGGGCACTAATTACTCTCAGAAGTGGGTTCACTAAAGTGAATTGGCATTGATTACTTTGACATGTTTAGACTACTTCAGATGGCTCTCTATTACCATGGCTACAGAACAAACTATCTTTTTCTACAAGTGTGGGGAAACCTTTTTATTCTCAGTTTTGTTTTACAATGACATTGGAAATAGTGTCAAATCATTTAAAATATAATAAATGAAAATTGTTCCTATTTACCAAAAGCAATAATCAGGAGAATTTTCTCTCATTTATAAAGTTTTATTCATAATAATTTAAAAGAAAGAGTTATATACTTTTATTTAATTGAATATATTTAATAATAGGAAGCGATTGCATATTCTTAGAATCAAATAATTATTCAATCTTCATAATATATTTTTATAATCCTCTATTGGGTGGGTTTTTCTTTGTTCAAAATAATGCACCAAATTTCTGATTGCTTTATGTTACTATCTGAAGGTAAATGGAGGAGAAACATTCAATTCACTAAGTATTACATCTATTTGGATTAGATAATTTGTATCAATCATAGAATGCCTGCACTATAACTACCCATAGATTTGGATAAGTGGCTCTCAATTGGCTGCATATTAGTTTTATCTAAGGAGTTTTCAAAGTACTAATGCCCCCAAATTATCTCTGAGATTCTTGGTTTAACTGGGGCTGGTCCCAAGCATTCTGATAATTTCCGTTAATCGCTTCAGATGATTATAAGACGCAGGGCAGGGTTAAGAACAACTGGTCTAGTCAACAGGTAAGGAAATAGTCCAAGGCAATCTAGGTGGTTTCCAAAGTCACTCAGTCATAACTAGTGGCAGAGGCAGAACCAGAAGTCAGGTCTTCAGATTCTCAGCTCAGTGTTTGCTCATGCAATTACACCTAAAGCTGTCATGTTGACCCACCCAATGTCATTGCTGAGAAAAAAAAAATAGCTGATAGAAACCAAACTCTGAAATACTATGCTAATGAATGTCTACTATTATTTATTAAACCACAATTAATTGCAATTAGTCATAGGCTCAAAAGCAGATTGAGTTTTAACAATTGTTAAACCCATCAGGCCTAATTTCATGATGAAGAGTTGCTCGCTTTCTTCTCAAGTTTATTCTCCTCTTTTGATTTCATTATATATTTTATGCAATATGTGAATTATCAAAATGCTGCAGAAACTTTATAAAAAGAACAAGTGTTTATCTTTTTCACAGACTTAAATCTCTTGGGTAAGAATGAATAGATGTGTCAGTAATCAACTCTAAGCCTAAAAAGCAAGATAGTAATTTTAAGCCTTTGAGGTTTAGGCTACAGAGCTCTGAGAAATATGTAAGTCGTGCATTATTAATGTGCATTATAGAGTTTCTGAATGCTTTCACTTCATTCCATGAATTTTAATAAATAATTATTTTAATTCCAGTTATTATGCCATTTTACATTTAGTTAAGTGTAATAAACACATGTTTACCTTAAAGCAAGTGGAATGGCAGCAAATCTGTAATTCATCTAAAATCATTTTCGTTTGTAAACCCAAGGGTTTGCGACAATAAGTACACATATCTCTTTCGATGACTGACCTGTAGAAATATAAGCAATAAAAAATTAAAAAGAAATTTGCTATCATATAAAAGACAGAAGTCATGTAGAAATAGTATGTTACTTTTAAAAATTAAATTATTTATTCTAATTTGTTATACACAATGGCAGAGTGCAATTCATTTCACATTACACAGAGAGAGCACAATTTTTCAAGACACTAATGGTACACAAAAAATCACACCATTTGTGTCTTCATACATGTACTTAGGGTAATGATGTCTTCCTCATTCCACCATCATTCATTCCCCTTTGCCCGCCCCTCCCCCCCATCCCTCCCTCCCCTTTGCCCTATCTAAAGTTCCTCCATTCCTCCCATGCTCCCCTCACCCATCACCATTATGAGTCAGCATTCTCATATAGGAAACTACAGTAAAATCAAAAAAAGTGCAGAGTTTACTTATTCTAGTAATAGAATTGATTTCCTAGTTACCCCTAAGATGATGTCAAAGAATTAACATGAGGGAAAGTCTCAGATTATTAAACCATTAGCAATCAAGAATGCATATGAGCAGGACAGAGATGTTCAGTTTTCCTGCTAAAGTAGTTTATAAGGACCTCTTGAAGCTGGAAGAGGGTTTTTTAATTATTAATTTACCTCTATCAGTTTACAGATTACATGGGGAAAGTATGTTACAGATTAATGTAAAGGTTTTACACTTGAAATATTCAATAGGCCCCCAGTAGAAATCCATTCAAGGGTGTGTTTATAAACTCACAAATGACGGGTCTATAGTGCTCAAGGACTCCAAGGTCTAGAGTCACCACCCAGGGTAAGAGTCAGATTTAGGGATACCTATCATGACAACGTTTATATTCTACAGGAAGATATAAAATTTGCTTAGTTTTGTGAAACTAATGTAAATGAATTATAGATGCAATCAACAGAATCCAGAAAAATTTAGATCATGCCACAGCATTAGGAAAGGATTCTTTTCCTTTTGTAAGGTCTCAGGAGTGTCTTAAATCCCACCAAGTAGTATGTATTGGATTTGAGGCTTTAGTACACCCGCCTGATATTTCCAGAGTAGGATACTTCATGGATAGTGAAATAAAAATAGCCAATACTTGTATAGTGCTTAACATGTGCAGTGTATTTCCCCAAGCCTGCGTATAAAAATTCAGCTACCCTTCACAACATCACTGAGAAGTCAGTATTGTTATTTTTAGCATCACTTTCTAGAAAGGGAAACTGGGGCAGAGAAAGGTCAGTATATTGCTGGTGTCATGCAGCCAATGAGTGGCCTTGAATGGAGACAGTGTGATCCCAGAGTTTAGGCCTACCCATGAGGCCTACTGGGTTCCCTGTGTTGATAAGAGCTAGTCATGCCCAGAAGCCACTATGGTGTCATCAAGCCCATGAGTGAAGCAGAGAAGAGGGAAAATGGGAGGAAGAGAAAACCAGAGAAGAAAGGAATTAAAGTAGATAAACCCTTTCTGGTTTTATATATTTAGTCATTCTAGCAATTTCTTGCTCATACCTAAGTGCATAAGTAAATATTTTCCCCTTCACTTCATTCTCTAACTACTCACTTATAGATACCAGGCAAATATTTCCCTATGAGTTACCCATTTATATACAGATGTATGTGCATACACACCCAAATTTCCCATTTGTGACTATAAGCACTTTAAGAGCAGAAAGTGTGTGCTTTCTATCTGCTGTCCATTCCACAGGCACTGAGCTAGGAACTGGGAGTACAAAGAATGGCTAGATGGTGTCCTCCTATGAGAAGCTGTTTGCCCTGGGGAAGCCAGACATGTGACTCAGTGGTGACAGCATGACATGGATATGAGGGAAGAGGAGCGTCCACTGAGGACGCAACCAATGCTGGGAGGAGTCAGGAAAGCTTGTCCAAAAAGTGCATATGGTTAGGCTGGAAGATGAAGGAGCTCCCAAGGTGGGCTCCTGGGGTTCATGATGGAGGAACCAAGCACAGTGAACAAGATAGATGGAGCTGCTCCTCCCTGAGGGCATTTGCAGTGATTGACCATCTGCCAGTGTTCTGCAGGAGCAGATTCTAAAAGCCCATAAAGAATGTGTAAAAAAAAAAAAAAAGGTCTTTGTTTTATAATGTACGCAACCACTTTTAATGGGATTGGTATGCTTGGATAAGAACTGTGGGGACATAGCCAATTTCACACACTAACCAACAGCAAGAGTTGCTTGACCTACTGGGCTTACAGAGAACTTACTGACAACTAAGAAAAAGTTCATGAACTGCCTCAGGCTAATTCTCCAATTCTTCATATTAACAGAAAGACTTTAATGAAGCATATTTCAATTCATTACATTAACAATAAAAATATGAGTGCAGGTAGAATTCTGATATTGGTGTTGTCCTTAAAATTAAGGATTATACAATTAGGCATAGATATTTACAAAGGATTATTAAAAGTCTAGCTTTGGTTTGGTTTTGTTGTTGTTGTTGTTGTTACCTACATAGTGTCTATAATTCCAATGTTTGTATAGATTACTTTATTCCTCAGAGAAGTGTAACATAAAGGCAGGACACCCAGCAGAGCATTGATAATGGGAACAATCTTGGAAGATTATCATAAAGGGGCTATATTTTTATTTTTGATTGGCAGATAATAATTATACATTTTTATCTAACATGATGTGATATTTTGATATATGCATAATATTTATAATGACCAAATCAAAGTAATTAGCATTTCTGTCTCAAATACTTATTATTTGTGTTAGGAATACTCAAAATCCTTTCTTCTAATTATTTTGAAATAAACCATACATTGTTGTTAGCTCTGCTCATCCTACTGTGCTATAGAACTCTAGAAGTAATTCTCCTGTTTGACTGTATTTTGATACCTGTTATCTATCCTCTCTCTATCTTGCCCTCCACAACCTGGACCATTTTACTCTCGACTCCTATGAGATCAACTTTTTTTAGCTTCCACATAGGAGTGACAAAATGTGGTACTTGTCTTTCTGTGCCTGACTTATTTTACTTAACATAATGTTCTTTGGGCTCATCTACATTGCCACAAATAACAGGATTTCATTCTTTTTATGACTGAATACTATTCCATTGTATGTATATATCCAAACCTTTCTTTTTCCATGAATCTATCATTGGACATCTAGATTGATTCCATATCTTGGTTATTATGAATATTGCTGCGATGAACTGGGGGTAAAGCTGTTTCTTTGGCATACTGATTTCCTTTCCTTTGAATATGTACCCAGTAGTGGAATTGCTGGGTCTATGGAAGTTCCATTTTAGTTTATTGAGAAACCTCTATATTGTTTTCCATAATGGTCATACTAATTCACTTTCCTTCCATCAGAGAAACAGATAAAATTGTGATGCTTGGTTCACCCATATTCTCCTTTGTGAATGGGACATAGGTTCATGTGCTCAGAAAACATTTACTGAGTATCTGTTAGACACCAAATACTGCATTGGAGGCTGAAGCTATGCATAAAAACAAGATATACCCTTGCTCTCAATGAGTCATATTTCCAGCCCTTGCTATAGAGAAACTGGTAGAATATCAGATATTTGCATTAAAATTTGTTTCCAGTGATTGGGTTGAAAAGCTAATTATTTTCATTTAGTTCACTGCAAATCTGCAGGCCACACACTCCTGAGTGTCATCTAGGAGTGAACATTGGGCCCCACTGAACATTCAACAGTAGAAGATCACTAATAGCAAAAGCCTGGAGTGGGGTCAGTTCACCAGCACTAAATCAATACTCATCATAACTCTCCCCCTGGGAACTGCACTTAGGTCCAGGGTAGGTCTTAACAGTAAGTATATCCATACAGCTGCCTGTAAAGTGAGATGGCTTTGAGAAACCACAAGGAGGGAGGGCTGAGGGTAGTCTAGTAGTACAATGAAGCCTAGATGCTAATAATGTGGAATTGGGGACCCCTGGGATTCATCAACAGCAGAAGGGCTGGCCTGGAAGGCTGCTGCAAAGAATGGAAAGGATTTTGGGAATAATGTGCATCAAACTTAGAGATCAGCAACAGCAGGAGACCAAGAGGCAAATTCTTGGGTGCCGAGTTATATTCCCTTCTTGTACATACATAACAATTATCTTTAGGAGAGCTATCTCGAGAACAAATGATAATGAGAATATATATGTATGTGTATATGGGTTTTGTGTGTGTGTGTGTGTTCGTGTGTGTTCGTGTGTACACTAATGTATACTTTTGTGTTTGGAAATATAGACATGCTTACCGATCTGAAGTTGAATAAACAGTTTGTATATATTTTCCAGAAGTATTCTCCTGATATCCATCTTTTGGTGATTTACTAGAAACAAACATACATGAACATATGAGAGTCTATCTGTTTTCTCTAGTATCAATGTCATATCCATACACTGATGGATTGTAAGAAAACACACAAATGCAGCCTTATTATTATGCCTCCAAGTTGATATATCATCAAAGTAAATATAGAGCAGGGTAAGGAATATAGGAACAAGTGTGAGTAGGTAAATAAGTCAACATTTTTTCATAAAATGTATACTTTCACCTCACTTGTTCACTAAAACTATTTGCAGTCTAACATAAAATAAAGGTAACACACAAAGCCCAAGCAAGGCGGGCAAACGCACATACACCATTCCCAGGGAACAATGGAGACACATGAGCTTTTAGAGAAAGCTCTAGAAATTTTTATTTTTACTTGAAAACATGCAAGAAGGAGTAATTTAGAATGAAAGCAAAATTTTAAGTGCAATTTTAAAAGTCCTCTCTTTTTCATTTTGTAGATTGTCCCAGCTTCTAAACGTCACTTCTCTGGAGACAAATGAATCTGTTGTGAGCTAACCAGTTGGCTCCTCATAATTGCTTCCCCAAAACTTAGGCTACCTGGGAATATATTACCATTCAACTCAACATGTTGCTACTATTTCAAGCAAGTGATAATTCTACATCCCTCACATGAGATTTTTTAATGAGAAATCTCTCTCTCCATCCAAACAGTCCATAGGCAGACTGCTGTCAGAACTAAAATCTACTTCCTGGAGCACATTACCCCTCAATGCCAAATAAGAGTTTGCACATATTTGTTCATGATGCATATATCATTACTTTTATTTTATTGATGAGGAAACTGAGAACTGCAGAATAGCTTTGCCAAGACTACATGGTTAATAAATGGCAAACAAAGACTCAACCCAAATCTGATTCTAGAGACTCGACTCTACAATGCACTGTCTGTCAGTGGAGATTTTAGGGAAGTTAGGGGTGTTTGGGGTTGCATCACCATTTTGTTAAGTTAAAGGAGGGGAAAATCAATCTTTCCAGAATGTTCTGCCTTGTAAACACTTGGCCTGGCATGCAACAATGTTATCTATTATCTTTTATAGTGATTTTTCTCAAACCTAAATGTGTATCAGAAACACATGACAAGTTTGTTAAAATGAGATTTCTGGGTTCCACTTGCAAAGCTTTTGATCTGGCAGGTCTAGAGGGAGGCCAAAGAATTTTCATCTCTAGCAAGTTCTGAGGTGATGCTAGCCCAGAGTCCACACTGTATCAAAATGTCTAGAGTTAGATGTTTTATAGAATATACATAATTCTAGAAAAATCATCTTTTCTTTGAAAATCAATACTGCAATTATTGGCATGAGTTCCTGTAAGACATTTCTTTAGAAATCAAAACATATTGGTGTAATATCCCTTAAAGCTGATGATGTGTGAGAGAAATTATTATGGAAGAAATGCCTGTTATTTTCTAATTCTATTTTACAGTATTTGGTGTCTTGCCTACATCGTAATATTTTTTGATACTATTTATCTACTTACCAATGTTTTTCAACTACTTGTTATTTTAAAATTTACTCTGATGCAGGTTGAAAGGTACCACAGATGTGGGGGTAGCATTACTTCCTGTGTTCCAGACTGGCAGTAGCACATGCCTCATATTTAATAAAATTGGAGCCAATTTTGGTTTTGTATTATTTTCTGTTTTCTTTAAAAAATGTCAACATAAAATTATATGTGAAAAAATCATTTTGAAATATTTTATATGTGAGTTATTTAAAAGAGGGCAGAAATCATTGTCTTCAACATACCATAGAGTGCAATGTAAATTAAGACAAAAATCAAATTGGAAGTTATATTTTAAAGGATAAATTATGCAAGGGTTTGAAGAACCTTTTTTGGAAAATTGCTCACTTTCCCTCATATATGAAGTTTATTGGAGCTCCTGAAGGTACCTACCCTGCACCCAGAAGATTCACCAGGGCCACTTCTGCTCTGAGGCCTCTTACATGTCACGTGTCTCTGCATGCGTGTGCCCAACTATTAGATTACACAACAATTAAGACAATGCTTGTTTTCATACTCCTTGAAAACCAAATGGGCTGTGAATGTGTGACCTTAGTTGACATTTTCCTCAAAATCCATCATGCCAATCAGCAGATTTCATGGGACATCCATTCTTTGTAATTTGGGTCAAAATATATCTGCTCAAAGTTATACCCCTTATTTCAGATTGGAGATAAACAATAGACAAAGCCATTTAATTAAAGTGGGACTTCAAATTAGTACTGGGATATTTGTGTAGTTTACAAAGCTTGTTAAACCATATGGTCACATATGTCTATGTGAGAGCTTTCAAATGATAATCCTATTATGTACACATGTATTATATTAAACTATCACTTAGCTCTTCCAGTGACTATGATTATTTATCAAGTCCTTAATATCGGAAAATGCAGTACTATATGCCTAGACCTTAATACATTTCTAGGTGGTCTTCTTTTGTTAAACATAGACCATTTCAAAATTATAAAACAAAGATATTTTAATTATATTTCTTTTTTTTTTTAATATTTATTTATTTTTTCTTAGTTCTCCGCGGACACAACATCTTCGTTTGTATGTGGTGCTGAGGATCGAACCCGGGCTGCACGCATGCTAGGCGAGCGCACTACCGCTTGAGCCACATCCCCAGCCCCTTAATTATATTTCTAATACCTGTTTTCCACGTAGGTCCTTGTGTACACAACAGTGTCCTTTGGTCTTGTGTGCCTGGTATCAGCATTGGAACTGCAATACAAACCATTTTACTTCATGTTGAAAGTGTATGTATAAGAATAATAAAAACAACAAGGCTATTACCCAATTCAATGCAAAAAGTAATGTTGTGTGTCTTTCTTCTAGACTATAATTGTGGAAATCATGTTAAAGTGCTACTAATTAAATTCTGCAAAATTTTATTATTTCTCCTATTTTGTTCTTAACTTCCACTGTGCTGACCTACTTTCAGAGTATTAGCATGAAAATCAGTCATTCAGTAAATCTGCTCAGAGCGGGAAGATTATTTTCAATATCTGTGCAATGTGTTTTAGTGTCTCTTTCCCTGATGTCCCATTCATATTTCCTACCCACAATTCTCCCCATAAACCTCAAATAAAAATGAATCATAATTTAACTATCATAACAGCATCTGATTTAATGAAGTATCTAGATCTATCTAAAGAATGACAACATTAAGGCTGGACAGGTAGCTCAGTGGCAGAGAGCTTGCTTAGCACCCCAAAGCCTTGAGTTCAATCCCCAGTACTGCAAAACAGAACAAAAACAACAAAACCCACTAATATCACAATTTCATGCTTTTTGTAATTATAGACTTCTTAAGGAAAAAATGCATTTTACAGTTCCTATCCCGATGTTCCAAGAAAAAAACCAAGTTGCTAATAACACTTCCAGGTAATGTTATATACATATAACCCCAGATAAAATTAGAAATGTCTTCATTTCAAAGGAAGGGTCAGAGGCCAACCTCAGTAACTTAGCAAGACCCCATCTCAAAATAAACAGTGAAAAGGGCTGGGGATGTAGCTCAATGACAAATCACCCCTGGGTTCAATTCCAGTACCAGAATAAACAAACAAACAAGAACAGTCCTGTTGCTTATTGTACAATCAATTAAATACCTGAAGCTGTCCTTGGTTTCATAGGAATAGGAAGTGCTTCTCGTAGACTCATTGTGCAAAGTTTTGGTGAATCCATTGACTTGGCCACCTAGCCTGAGAGAGTAAACATAGTGTACTTGTCACTTAAAATCAGTCACTTAAAAGTTTTTTGCTTTATTAAACTTCTGTTCCATTAACATTACTTTACCTACAATTAACATTACTTTACCTATGACTGTCTGATGTCTGCACAGATACACATAGAGTACACTCATTATTTCTCTCCCTCCACAGAAACCAGACTTTAAGAATATCCACAAGCACATGCCACATTGTCTGCTGCTAGGACAGAATACTTTTTTATCAAGGCTTGAAACCATCAGAAATAGATTCCTGCAACATTTTCACACCAGCAATGTCATTTTATAAAGCTTCCCATGGTACAACACATCTGAGAATTTATCAACTTAATGAAAATGATCCAGGGGTTGCTCTGAGACATTCCAGTTTCCATTTTGCTTTTAATGAAAGGCAACACTTTGAAGATGGCAGAAGAACTCTGACCTAGATATCTGCTAATCTAAAAATGTCACCACGTTTCACAGAGTGGAGACACATTTGCCTTTTCCTATGGAACAGAAGAAATTCTTAATGCAAGAATAGTGAACATTTTAGCTCTTTCTCTTCCTCCATGTTAGCAAACTCTGACACAGGAGAGACTTGAAAACCTACAGGAGGGTTCAGATCTTAATCAAGCCTTATCATTCTCAAACAGGCTGTTCTTTCCATTTTCAGAAAGCTCTTAAAGAAGAGGAGAACATTTGTTCACATATCATCTCTGACATACAGAAAATCACCTCTGGTTTTAAGGCAGCTGTTTCATGAACATATATGCCTAAGTTCAAATGATACTAAGTAGTGAAAATGTAGAATTAATAGTATTAGGTTTTTAACATGATTATTACAATATGTCACTCCAGGAATAGTAAAACTAACTTGGAACTGTTAAAAAATATTCAAATCATATGACACACAATAAAAAACCCACTTACAAAAAATTGATAGCTTCAAAGAACAAAGATTATCAGGGAGATTGAAATATGTCTGCGTTGTCCTCAGCAACATAAAATAAAAAATAAACAGTTTGCAAAATCCACAAACAGAAGAGGGAAAGGCTTTGAAAATAGTACTATTATGGACTATTGTAGTCCCTCCAATTCATATATTGAAGCCCTAACCCTCCATGTGACTGTGTTAGCTCTTCATTAACTCTTCTAATGAAACCTCATTTCATAAACAAGCCCAAATGAAATTGGTACACCTTTCAAATCATATTAAATAGGAAGTTTCTTAATTATACTTATTTATTTATTTATTTTTTCTGAGTAGAATTTTTTATTGTTAAGATACTTGTTACATAACATCAGTGTTTTTCTAAGTGGAAGTCATGGAGAAGATGCTGGCTTTTTGTTTTGTTCTAAAGGCACATGAAAGCAGGTTTTCTAGAGTTAACAATTTTGATAAATGGAATTTTTATGCATTACAATTCCTATTACAAATATAGAGCACATTTTTTTCATATCTTTGGTTGTACACAAGGTAGAGTCATATCCTTCATATCTTCATAGATGTACTTAGGGTCATGATGACCATCGCATTCCACTGTCTTTCCTACCCCTATCCTCCCTTACTTTACCTCCCTCCCCTTTTCCCCTTTGCCCTATCTAGAGTTCATTTAATCCTTCCATCCTACCCCTCACAGCATATTATGAATCAGCATCCTTAAATCAGATAAATCATTTGGCATTTGGTTTTTTGGTATTGCATTATATTCTCCAGCTCCATCCATTTACCTGCAAATGCCAAGTTTTTATTCTCTTTTAATGCTGAATGATATTCCATGGTGTATATTTACCACATTTTCTTTATCCATTCATCTACTGAAGGGCATCTAGGGTGGTTCCATAGTTTAGGTATTTTGAATTGTGCTGCTATAAACATTGATGTGGCTGTGTCCCTGTAGTATGCTGTTTTTAAGTCCTTTGGGTATAGATTGAGGAGTGGGATAGCTGGGTCAAATGGTTCCATTCCCAGTTTTCCAAGGATTCTCCATACTGCTTTCCAGTTTGGCTGCACCAATTTGCAGTCCCAGAGTGCCTTTTCCCTCACATCCTCTATCTATAACCATACACAAAACTCAACTCAAAGTGGATCAAGGACCTAGGAATTAGACCAGAGACACTGCATCTATTAGAAGAAAAAGTAGGTCCAAATCTCCATCATGTAGGATTAGGCCCCAACTGCCTTAATAAGACTCCTATAGCACAATAATTAATATCAAGAATCAATAAATGGGATGGATTCAAACTAAAAAGCTTCTTCTCAGCAAAAGAAACAATCAGTGAGGTGAATAGAGAGCCTACTAATTGGAAACAAATTCTTACCACACGCATGTCAGAGCACTAATTTCTAGAATAAAAAATTCAAAAATCTTAACATCAAAAAAATAAATAACCCACTTAATAAATAGGCCAAGGATCTGAAAAGACACTTCTCCAAAGAAGATATAAAATCAATCAACAAATATATGAAAAAATGTTCAACATCTCTAGCAATTAGAGAAATGCAAATCAAAACTACTCTGAGATTTCATCTCATTCCAGTCAGAATGGCAGCTATTAAGAATTATTTACTTTTTTTATTTCAAACCTCAATCACTTTCAAATAATATTTGAATGAGCTTGGTTAATTGTAAGTCACTCCTGTTCCCAAAATAGTGAATGGGTTTCCAGAATAAGCAGATCCTACTGAAAAATTATACTGCCTCATTCTATCAAAGACTTTCTTAGGATCATGATAAAAGATGGCAGAAGATGATTTGGACAATTAAGGGAAGAGAAAGAAACTGTCTGTACAGATTCAAGAGCCTTTTGTAGACATTATGGGGGAAAAAAAGTGAGTCAGCTTTTTCCCAAGCTTTTCCACTGTCTGCAGAAAATATTATTTTTTAATATTTGAATGACAATTATTAAATTGTCACACACATACACCACCACCACCAACACACTAGGAAAGTAAAAAATGCCATAGGAAGGTAAATTTTAAAAAAAGTAATATATTGTATTTTTAGGCTTTTTTCACATTTAGGGAAAAAACTGCTAAACATGAAAATTTATTAATTCCTTTCCAATTTAAACATTGATATTAACAATGAAATAATGCTTCTATCCTAATTTTCCTTATAGTGGCAAATGAAGCATTACAGTTTTAAAGCCCTTATACTTTGTGGTGTAAAGAAATTTCAAAATTAGGTCCTGTTTTGTGGCTGTGAGCAATTTGTGCATTTTTTAGCACAAGGTATCCAAGGAAAAGATTTTCAGAGTGTGCTCTGCATCTCTGAAGACCTACCAAGCAACAGTAAGTAAAAATAAATCTTCACAAAGACCACATAAAGAGCTTTGAATTTCCATGACGCCTTTTACACCAAGCAATGGAACAGCAGGCCTAAGTCAGAAAGTCTAACAGAATTAGAATTTTGTTAATTTTTTTGTATCAGCTATTAAGCAACTGGTACCATAATTTTTTTTTGTATTTAGATAGTCTTTATTTTTAAAAACAATAATACAATCAAGTCCCCAGAAAATCTTCTAAGATTACACACTTCACACAGGGGCAAACTCATAATAAAGAAAGTAAATTATAATGAACCTTACCTTCCATTCTTTTTTTCAGACACATGAGAATTTTCTTCAATTAAATTTTCTTGGTCCTGGTCTCTAGTTACAACACAATTTTGGAAAATAAGCACATATTAGACTTAAAAAATTAAACCTTAGTACATAATGTTAGACACAGTGATTTGTGGTCTATAAAGTGTATGGAAGATCAGAAATTGGATGTTGAGCTATTTGGCCCAACTACCAGTGGATCAAATATGAAAGCACAGGTTGGGTGGAACCCCATGGTAGAGTACTTGTTTGCAGGCAGAGCATCTGGGTTCAACCCCAGGAATGAAAGAAAGAGAAAGCAGGCAAGAAAGGATAAAGAAAAGAAAGTGTGAATTACATTGTGAGAGAAAAGTAAAAAAAAAAATTATGTTTTTTTGGAAGGTTTGGGAAGTCTTGTCTGAAAAGACACCATTGATTTATATTCACAGTCAGCTAACATTTAATGAGCACTAAGTTTGTATCACAAAGTTCTAACTGTGTATTTTTACATGATCTCTTTCAGATCTCACAAAACCATATAGGACGGCATCTAGGACTCAGAAAGACTGAATTTTCTAAGACCGATAAACTAATTTATGGAAAGTCAAGACTTAAGGCCATGTCACCTGCCCACCTAAAATCGACTCTTGAATTTTTATTGGAGTCTTTCATTCAGACTTCTGGAATAATCAAAACATAAGACAATAACCCAAAATGTTAGTCAATAATTTATGATGAGAAGGATAAATGGAGTGATTGGATTCTTAAACCTTGAGCTCCATTAATGATTTCACAAGTTTTCATGAGATACAATGTCCTCTGATATGTTAGCTGCATGTCAGCTATTTATATATTTATAACATTGAAAATTCCTGAGGTGTGTGTGTTTTCATGAGTTTGGAAAAGGCTTTGTCTGTCATGAACTCTACTGAGCAGGAGCATTGCTAAGGAGTCAGATCAAGAAGGTTCATCTCTTCCCTTTCTTCCCTGGGCAAATTAGTCAACTTTTTAAGCTTCATTTTGTAAAGGAAGTTACTAATATCCAATCTCTCAAGTCATGATGAAAAAAAATAAAACTTAGGGCACAGTGAGCACACTTGTGGGTGAATTGAATAGGCTTACATAAATTAGAACTAATGGAAGAAAAGAGATGCAGGAGCACTACTGATTCACAGTTTTGAGGGACTACATTTTAATTGTTATTTGTATCCTAAATTTTCACATCTTTGGAATTAATTCCAGTTCTTAAAATTGTCCTTGCCATGCCCTGAGTTTAACTAAAGTTGTAATACATGGAATGAATATATAGACTTGTACTCACAAAATTAATCTTGATAAGGACAAAGAAGACTATAAACATTCTCATCTTTATGTGGAGTGAGATTTAATACTCTTTACATAACATTCAAGTCATCAGTAATTGATAGACGATGGAAATTAGGCACTATTGAATAGCCACACTTAAACCTTATTTTTAAAATACTAGCTGATGCTTTTCAAAATGCAAAAATTTAGGGCAAATTACTTTTTAATGTGAATTACAGTAGAAATATTCCAATTTGTGTATGTAAAAAGTATGATAGTTCAGAGGCAGCCCAGAAGTATCAAAATCACTAGGTTTTTTGATCTGAATGATATCAAATTCTAAACTGAATTTCTGTTGAAAGACAATAGAAAGAATCAGATATAACTTTCCTATGTCTATACGTGAATACACTACCAGTACAACTCCACATTACGTACAAACACAAGAATGGGAAGTTATACTTCATGTATGCATAATATGTCCAAATATATTTTATGGTCATCTAAAAAGAACAAATTTTAAAAATGAAAAAAAAAATTCTAAATTGAACTTCTCAACTTGACAGCTAAACCTGTGTAAGGTGATCTCCCAGCTCACCTCCTGAAAATTTAGAAATGGAGACAGAAGGCTTTGGGTTTTCCTATCCCCACCATAGTCTTCATCAATTTCTGGAGCTTCCTTCTTGGTATCAGGGGTTGCTGTACTACCTTAATGGCCTTAGACATTAAGTGATCCTTCCCTTAATGTTTCGAATAATACTTCGCTAAATACTTGGGAATGAAGGAATAAAATTAAATGGAGTATCCATCATCCAGTTTCCTATAACAACAAACTGGGATGAATGGCAGCAGTACATGGGAAAGATCACCAGGACACATGAATCTTGGAAAATCAGAATTTTGTCCTGGAAAGTCATTCTCCCTCTGCTGCCAACACTGGAAAAACTTTGCACTACGTTTAAGGCAGCTGATCACTTTTATTACAACTTGAGGGTAGGTCTCACATGATCTTACACAGAGTAGTTTTTCCATAAATACGTGAAGACGAAAGGTAAAGATGGCCATCTACAAGCCAAAGAGAGAGGCCTGGAACAGATTCTTCCCTCTTGGCCTAAGCAGCACTAACCCTGCTGACAGCTTCATCTCAGACTTCTAGCCTCCAAAGCCAGACAAAGTCAAATTCTATCTTTCAGTCCATCCAGTCTGTGGTCCTTTGTAAGTGCAGTCCTAACAAATGAATTCAGACTTCTTCTCCCTCACAAGGTGATTACTTCTAATTTCTCAGCTTGATGGTGGACATTTTCCATTCCTCTGGCACTGTCCACTCAAGATTGCTGCAGATACTGCACCTTTGCTCTGTGTACACCTCTCACTCAACTCTTTCGGGCCATGGCTTCTTTTAAGAGGGAGAAAAAAAAAATGAATTTGAACTTCAGGAAGAAGGGGAAGCCAGAATCTTACAAATCCAACAACTAAACTAGACAAAAACTGGAGCCCACGTAAGCCTTTGAAGAAGCATGCTCCCAAAGTGGTGTGAATCAACAAACCACATTGTTAGTGGCTTCATAGAATTTTTCTTTTTTCTTGTTTCATTAAATACTACATATTAAGTTTGGTTGAGTGGGCTATAAAATTTTAAGCTGAATGACCTATTACTAATATTGAAAGCAAACATTTATTCCTGATGATGGAAAGCACCAAATGAGCCAGCATGGTAACACACACCTGAGTCCCAGCAACTTGGGAGGCAGGGGAGGGAGGATTACATGTTTAAGGCTTAGCAAGACCCTGTCTCCAAATAAAAGGGCTGGAGGTGTAGCTCAGTGGTAAATCCCCAGTCCTCTCCACACATACACACAAAGCACAAAATGTATATTTACCGAGCTTATTCACTCTCTTGGTATCATGAGCTAAATCAGAAGATCTAATAAAGTTCAGACTACCCATATACTTCCCAAGTCAAAGGATGTGAAAATAATTTTTGGTTTTTTAATTAACACCACATCTATTGCATGACGTCTTTTACACTATAGTGAAAGATGAAGAACTGTGAGTCAAAGCGTGAAAAATAGATTTTATAGAAGTTCAAGCCAAACGCTGCAGGCTTAAGCAGCAAAGGGATTCCAAACGCTTCCCGTTGTAATTGTAGCAAAAGGAAGACCTTATAGTTTACAAGCAGTTAAATTAATTTCAAGGAAATCATTAATTCTTTATAGATTCATAGAATTGCTAAAGAACAAATCATTAATCATTGCAACCAGTAATAATTTTTTAAATGTGGATTTCAAACATTGGGGAGAAAATAGGAATCATTTATGGGGCAAAGCCACAGGTGATTTATTTTCCTCTGCCACATTAAGTAGTATAGTTACTGAGCAAGGGAAATGGAGATTCTGGGGACCAAGAAATTATGTCTCTTGCTATAGACATTTCCTAGGATAAGTTTTGATGTGATAAAATTATTACTTCACTTCTAACTGTTCTTCTCCTCTCGTATGAGTGTAGGAGGTATTTATTAATAGGTGGCAATATGCTTCTCTCTATAAGAGCTAACTTAATTTGCTTTTGCAGAGTATCATACACACTTAAAAAATTAAGAGTCTTCATATAAAACTTTTACTATGGTATTTCTTTTATGCCAGGAACTAAATCTTAGGCATTGGACTATAGTTTAAAAGGAATTTTTGTCTCCCTGAAAGGAATATAGAATACAAAGAAGTATCTAGTATAATTCTCAATTTATTGACATAGTAAAATGAGTCTAGCTTTACATGTTTTTACATTTTTTTTTCAACAAAGATGTCTTATTAAAGAAATTAAGAGATCTATAGAGAAGTTGGACAATTTAGGTATTTTAAATATAAGATATAATTTCTAACTTCAGTGGCTCTTGTTCACCAACATTCACTGAGATTATTGTGAACAACTGGGCTTTTGAGTGCACACCTATAACCCCAGATACCTGGGGGCAGGGGCACCAGGCTGGAGAATTTCAAATTCAAGGCCAACCTCAGCAATCTAGTGAGGTCCTGTCTCAAAAGGTTTTATCTAGTTGGACTATCATAAAGCATTGATTAATTTGAGGTTTAGTCATTAATGCACAGAATATTTAACCTCATATGTGCCAGATATTGTGCCACTGTGCTAAAGAGTATAAAGAATAAACAAGACGGATCCAGTCCTTGACACTAATGAGCTTATAGGCAGAGAGAGAGAGGATTAAATAACAATTCTCTCTAAGGGACAAATGTTAGGGGACAGGAAGGACAGAGCTTGAGAATATCTAGAGGATGATGCACACATGGTGGGTAGGGCTTTCCAGAACCTGAGTGAGAGACACCTACACTGGTACCTGAAGGGTAAGCAGAAGTTATCCAGGCAATAACATGGAAGGAGGAGTGAAGAGCAGTCCAGTGAGAGGCTGGTGGACAGAATTTACTTGTAAGTGGGAAGGAACAGGAGTTGGGGTGGGAAAGCCTGCAGAGGCCAGATCATGATGGGCTTTGAAAACCAGGTTAAGCGGCAGGGTCATGACCTATTGGCAACGGGAAGCCACTGAAGGATTTTAATTAGAAAAACAGGATCAGATTTGGGTTTTAAGAAGATCAGCTACAGTGATTGAAGGATATAAGTAAGACTGGCAGCAGAGGAACCCTTAGGAGACGGGACAGCAGTCTGGACGATAGCAGTCCAGGGGTCATTTCCTGAAATGATGAGGAGAAGCACCAAAGTGATTGATTGATGGATGATGGGAAGTGAAGCAAGAGTCGAGGATTTCCCCGGGTTTATGTCTTGAACAGAAATAGGAGAAACAACCAGTAGGAAGACAGGAAGGAACTTTTCTATTGCTGGAAAACTAAAAACTTGGAGGTACATGTTAACAAGTAGCCCTTAAAAAGATGAAAGTATAAAATCACAAATAGAACTTATTTTTTATTTTCTGCTTTACGTGAATGAATGCCTTTTCTCACCCGGAAGCCTTAGATGAACAGGTGTGCTTTTCTATATTCATTCGGGAGCAAAAATTCGGTTTTAATAATTAGTCTAACAGTTTATAGGCTACAGATAACTGAAGATCTCTCAAATGTTGGTTCATGTTGCTGCTAAAAGTCAGGCAATTTCTCACTGAATAAATAAAAATTCTGTGCACATCTGCATTTGTTCTGGTTGTTGTGTTCCAAGAAGCAGTTCAGGGATGCCTGCTTACGTTCTGATAGATGATTGAAGTTTATTCAGCCCCTAACTGTGAATTAAATATACAGCTGCAGGAGATGTCAGCAAAGTCACATAAAAGGATTCTGATTCACTGCTGTTATACTATTAAATAATCAGTGCTTGTGTCTCACTGAATTGATGTAAAAGTGCCTTGTGGCTGTTCTTCCTACCAGGAGGTGCTTTAAAATGCCCTTTTTTTCTCTACCTGCATTAAAATCAAGAGGGCAGCATGGCTGCAATATAGATAGATACAGGTGGCCATATCAACTGAATGAAGTCACTCTTTTCAAAGAGTTCAGTATTTCCCATTTATCTGCTCTGTAACGATTCTTGGAATTCCTGGCTGATTATCATCAAATCTGTGTGCGACCAAAGAATGATCAGGCACAAGTCCTTCTTGTGGACCAAGATGCCATCTTAAAAGATCATGATAATGAATTTTTCAATTTCCTTTTTGTAGTCATCATACTTGTGGGAAGAAAATGTCCTGTTTCCATGTATGTTTGTTTAGGAGTTGTTGAAATACAACTTTTTGTAAAATCAGTCTCTTGCAAGTAAAGGAAAAGCAAATGCTATGTTGCTATTGTCAACATAGCACACTTGCCAGAGAGGCAGAGGCAGGGGAGAGGAGAGCAGCAGAGAAAAGAGAACAGGGGGTGGGAGTGGGGGAAGGGGTGGGGCAGAGAGAAGTAGAGAGAGGGAAAAAAATTTTTCCATTTTTAATTATTGTACAATATGATTATTAAATCTAACTATTTCCAACATGTTTGGTAACCTTCTAGGACTATTTCTAATGTAAAGAAAAGTCTACCCTAACCAATACCACTATAAAGAAATGGTTCTATTTAAATAAGTTGTTTCCATATAATTATCAGTGGCAAGACCTGAATCACAAGTTTCTTGTTATTTCAGCCAGTAAAACATTTCCATTTAAGGACTAGGGATGTAACTGAGTGAGAGAGTGCTCACCTAGCATGCTCAGGCCCTAGGTTCAACTCCCCAGATCCATAAAAATTATAAAATTTAAAAAATTTAAAAAGCCCTTTAACTAAGTGTAGGGAAAACAGGGGAATAGAGATATGAAAGGTTGAAAGAAGAGAGTCGGTGGGCATTTAAACACAGATCTTCTGTTCTCCCTCTAGGTAGTGACGTCAGACACAGTTAGATGGAGGTGTTTTCTTTCTTGAGAGGGCTACTAAGTATCTTTGAGTTCTAGTATCCTCTTCCACAAAATACTAGACTATTTCTCATGAGGTGTTGTTGTAAGAACTAAATGTATATAAATCGCAAGTCATAGGGGCTCTGCAAGTACTCTAAGCAGCAATTGCTCTTCCTCTGCCTTCTGCCTTCCAAGACCCAAGACCCCAGTGATAAAAACACAGAAACAGAAAGAGAAACATGAAGCGCTGACGTAGAAAAGCTTAAAAGGCCAATTAGTGTGTTACATTGCCCTTCTCTCTGACTGGACTCAAAGTACTTTTTCATAAATAATTTATTGTCTTCATCTCAGAATGTTGGGCTATGATTCCCAGCTATTATTTATTATGATAAAATATCAAGTCAGCAGAATGTTTTGAACTTCCAATACAGTATACACAGGTGAACCATCTATACTTTATTATATACTAATAAAGCACCTTGAGTGGAAGACATGATATAAAAATAGCAAACTCAAGGTGGAAGTTCAAGATTAAAATCTGCTGTGATGTTTGGCAAGCCTAGACAAATTGTAGATCTAAGCTTCTAAAGACCCTAAATTCCTTTTCCAAATTGGTTCAACTTCAAAAATATTTTTCTTTTATTTAATTTTATTCACTTTTCATTTCAGTCTTGAAACCCTGCTTCCTGTAGACAACAAATATTAAGTTGTTAGTGCAAAGAAGAAGCACGGAACTGATTCTAAAGTAGTTCAATTGATTCCAGAAGAGGGAGTGTTTCCTTGTAGACAGGATACACGTGGGCTATAAATGCATCCTCATTTGTAACACCAAAGAAAAATAAAAGCTTTCTTCAAAAAAAGAAAGAAAATCCCTACCCTAGATAGAACCTTGGGAATATGTCAAAATAATCAGGCAAGGCCATTTACCGATTAGAGTTCTCCAGAGCTGAAGGTTTCACATTAATAAGATGATCCAGGTCTTGGCTATTTAAAGAGACAAAGAAAAATTCAGGTTAGTGAAATGTTTTGCAGGTTGAAATCAATAAAGCCATGATACAAATCCACATCATCCAGGGACAACAGAGAGATCAAAATGGGATTAACTGCTTTTATTTGAGTACCTCTGATTGTTTCTGATTACTACAGGATTCACTTTGATGAAGTTATCCAGATCTTGGTTTCTTTAAATTAAAAAAAAAAAGGTAAAGAGAGCATTTAGTGATAAAGTTATTTTTTTCCAACAATTAAAATATATTTTATTAGTGCATTTAAAAAATTGTTTTTAGTTTGTAGATGGATACAATACCTTTACTTTGTTTATTTATTTTTATATGGTGTTGAGGATCAAACCCAGTGCCTCACACATGCTAGCAAGAACTTTACCACTGAGCTACAACCTCAGCCCCTATTAGTGCATTTTAAGTACACAGAATAATGTAAATAATGTGCTTCATCATATTAAAAGTAAATCAAAGAAACATCAGAAAATAACAATGTGTGAAAATTATTTGTATTTAAGTGAACTTTAAAATATAGTTATGATACATGCAATTAGAAACTTAAATATCAGGTGAAATTCAGTGATTGTTAGTTTTTAGTATGACTTTGTGTGTGTTATTATAATTACTTTACCATTTTAAGCTATTAAATGACTGACCAAGAAGAACACAAGCAGATGCTATCATACATAACAACTCAGATTAAATTATTTAAAATCAAACATGACAAAATGTTACAAATGAAAGTGATATAGAGTTTTTTTTTTTGTTGTAAAATTGTTAAGATTATAAATCTGCTTGAAATTATAATAAAACAAAATACTCTTGACCAAAGTACATTTAAAATAAAAATGTATTCTATTACCTTTGGTTGTTTGTGAGAATTTCGGGATTCACTTTGATGAGCTTATCAAGATCTTGATTTCTTTAAGGGGGAAAAAAAAGATGAAGCAGCTTGGGTTAGAGATAATAGGATTTCAGGTCATTGTGAATGGAGGAGAGGATGACAGAGTGAGACATGGTCTTTTGATGTAGAACCTCCATGCAATGAGTCTTCTAACCCATCCAGAGGAGGAAGAATTATGCTGTGAGAGAAGGAAACTTACTCTGACTTCTTACACTTCGCTGCAGAAGCATATCTATCTACAAGGACGTGCAGGCGAGGTACTTCCACAGCCAACACCCAGTGACTGACAATTTGTCACTGCAGAAGACTTCTACAATATTAAGAACTGATTCTAATGCCTTTGCCATTTCTTAAATTATATTGTAACTAAGGGTATCAATTCTTTGAAACAATAAGGTCTAAAACAGGTTTTATTCCTTATTCTTAACATAACTTTTTTCCTTCTATTTTATTATTATTATTACTATTATCATTATTATTTAGTGCTGAGGATGGAAGTGAGGCTCTTTACCATGCTAGGCAAGTATTCTACCACAGTAGTATGCTTCCTGCCCTTTTCTTTCCTCTATGACAACTAAAAACCTGAATTGAATTTAATTATTCATAGTTAAATTAGATACATCCTCTGAAAGTTGTTCACTCCCCATCGTACCAATTTCTTTTTTCAGCAAGAAATAGTATTTCCTCCCCTATGGTCTGTTCTAAGCCACTGCCTTGATATAACTCTAGTTTTAAGGACTACAAAGTGGTGATTATTTTCAGTGTCCCTCTAAACCCTTTTTTAATATATATTCAGAGAAATGCACGGCAAAGGCCTGGCAAGAGATTGCACAAGGCTGATAACCCCTGCATCCCCTTCCATCTGAGACAGCAACCAGTCTGTACCCATCCCCTGCAATCCTTTTTTCTTATCTAAAAACAAAATGCATTTTACTCAACAAAAAGATTGATGGGGTAGGGGGCGGCACTGGGGTTGTGGCTCAATGGTAGAGGGCTCACCTAGCACGTGCAAGGCACTGGGTTCAATCCTCAGCACTAAATAAAAATAAATAAAGAAATAAAGGTATAAAAAAATTGATGCAAGGTTACAAACTGAAAGTGCGTCATTTAGAGATGAATCCTTAAAAAGGCCTAGGGTCTACGTTCCCCTCCCCAGCCTCAATCTTTCCATGGAATGTGCTTCTCAGCTCATGACTCCATTCTGGAGATCTCTTCTGGTTCTCACATCTCCACAGTGGATGGAAAGTCCCTATCTGGACTTTCACACTTTTGAATTAGCCTCTATATAATATACAAAATTAAAGATTATCTATTGGTATCTGCAAACACCATTAAAAGAATGATTGCCAAATGAGAACTAGCCCAAACATAATTTCTTCATATAAATTGATAGAAAAATGTGTTATAAAAAGTACCGTGAGGATTAAGTGTAGGCTAGTAAAGATAAAAAAAAAAGTCTCATAAAACAAAACTGTACCATAAAAAAAAAAACTATGCCATAAAAACAAAGCTTAAAATTTGGTTAACTTCAAAATGTAAAAGAAAAAACTAACAAGGAATAAAACTTTGTAGAGGGGACAGTATGTTCAAAAGCCTTTTTGTACATATAAAATTAATCCCAATATATTTTAGTATAACTACATATAATGCTCCTTAGCATAATTAAGAAGAGGGAGCATAGAAAATGCAAAAACAAATACAGGGGCTTCCATTTAAACTTGTTCTGCTAAGCACAGAAGATTTGATCATCTATCATTCTAGATAAGAAATATTTAATATTTTATATTAATATTTATGTGCATGTAAATAGTATTTATATTTATATGAATAATATTTACATTAATATTACCAATTAATATTTTATAGATTAATATTTTGTAAAGACCAATAAGAAATGCATTTTCTTATTGGTCTTATTTCTTATTTTCTTATTGGCTGTATTTATATTACAGCCCAATACTCTCTCTTTTCCAGACAGACACGAACAGAATCACATATGGAAAATATGTGAATTACACAAAATAATACCCTACTCGATTAGAATTCTCACATTTTCTATTTGATTAAGCTTATTCAATTGAAGAGGTGAGGCTGATTATTACTCACTAAAATAACTACAACATCCTTGAATGAATGGTGACCCATGATTTGAGAAACTCTAGCTTAGAAAACAGATGTTAAATCCTACTACTACTTCAATAAAAGGCAATGCCATGTGTTAATAAAATCAGGATCTTAGTAATAATGCTGAACTGTCTTGGTTGACAGCAAAGGCAATTTATCTCAATGAATTGAAAACAACAAAATATTGACTTTTTTTCTTGACCTGAGTCCTGATAAAAAAGGAATCTAATATCTAAATTTTATCCAGGGAATATGTAACATCTTTCCTACTCAAGTTACTGCTTTCATTAATTTTGCTTTCAGGGTGTGGCAAAGAATGCATTCTAATGCATTAGAGCTAGTATTGTGACTTCTGAAGGTTTAAATGCAGTCATTTGCATACTGTGCCATTGTCATTCATGAAGTAATTCTTCACATGACACTGTGAAAACAGTAGAGGGCACATCCTGGTTGTCCCACAATAAGAGCAGCAATCCTATCTGTTCGGCTCCACTATTTCCTGAGGTGTTTAATTAACTTTCATTTACTTCAAGATCAAACTCGGTGCTGTGGTTGTAAAGACCAGAGTTGGGCTGAGAGTTAGAAGAACTCCTAGGAGATGTGATGGGATTTTTGCTCTCTGGCCTCAGTATTCTCATTTCTATATGAGGAGCTTGGATTGGATAATCTCTAAGGCTCTGCTCATCACTGGCTTCTATTCCAGGACTCCATGAATATGAATTTTACTTCCTATCGTGTTTATTATATCCTCTTTTAATGCTTCTTTTTTCTTTTTAAATGCAATTCACTGACAATATATTCTATATTCAGCAAGCAGTACATGAGTGCTCTGAAATGTAATATATTAAACTGACAACCTATTATTGTCTTGGAGTAACATCTCTGTGCCCCTGGTACATAATTAGCTTTAATCTATGTTAATTGCCTGCTGTTAATAAGATTGAGTATGACTACTGAATACTCTTTTTGGTGTCCACAGCCTATAATTATACCTAATGTGCAACTAATGATACCTAGTCTTAAATTGTGAACCCAGTAGGTGTTCGGTAATTATTCACTGCTTAGGAGATCACAGAACTACTATCAGTCTTACACTGATTTTCTCTGTGACCCTGGTCAAATCACTTAACCTTTCCATGTCCTAATTTCCTCTTTGACAAAATGAGCAATTTCAGCTGGAACAGTGGTTTTCAAAATTGTTCAAATTAACGAGGCTAGGATTCTCTGAGGTTTCTTTCTTCTTCTTCTTTTTTTTAAAGGTAACAATAAAACTTAAAAAGGAAATCATGAAAACATTTCTAAGATTTCTAAGAGTAAGGTGTAATGATGATGTGAAAATTTTCATATAATCAGGAACAAAAAGAGAATTTCATTATCTTAGAGAAACTACTTACAGAATTACCAAATTTTTGGTCCACCAAACCCTGTAAAGATCAATGAACCTCAAAGTTCTGGTGTTGCCCAGTAAACACTTCCAAAAGGATGTAAATGATACTACCAATGAGTCTAATGAAGCTTATAGGTCTATTTTTTAAATTAACTATCACTAAGAATTTAAATTCTAGAGACAAAAGTATTAATATCAATGCCACACAAAAACAAAACAAAACAGCTCTTGGACTGGCTCTGTTCCTAGCACCTCCTTCTCCAATCATTCCCTTCAACTGCTTTATACTTGAGGCTGAGGAAAGAGATGGGGCCACCATTCATTGTCATCAGCAGCCTCTTTCTTGCAATTAACAAATTCTGTTGTTAACAACTAGGTTTCCAGGGACATATAAAAACTGTGATGATATTTCAAGATCTATATCTAATTTGCCCATAGAATGATTATGTCATTTATATTCACACTGGGTTCTATCCTCAGCACCACATAAAAATAAAGGCATTAAAAATTAATTCCTGGGCGGCAGAGGCCTACGCCGCAGAGGCGCATACCGCTGGGACCCGGACCTGCATCCAGTCGCTGCGGGTGTCGGCGGAGCCGCTTTCCCTTCATGCCTCGCCCTGGGACGCGGTCCTGCGCTTGCTGGCTGCAGGGTATTCCTGGCCTTATAAAATGAGTTAAGAGGTATTCCCGGAGATCCAACATGGCGGCCGGCGCGGAGAGATCAAGTCTCTGACCTCTTCAGCTGTGCGGGCATAGGGAGTCGTGGGCATAGGGAGTCGTAAACTGTCTAAATGCTGTTTGCTCAGGATCACTAGGCAATGCTGAGCTGACGTGGATCTGGGGCGAACAGTTTGGGGCTCTCAGAACACACACTGAGCCCGGATCAGCTGCATTCAAGCTCCAATTCTCCTGCTTCTTGTGACTCAGCACTAAGGATCCCGCTGAAATAACTGGTCGGCCCTCCTGAACTTACAGAGGTAAAAGCCAACCGAGCCTTCATAGGCAGTGGCCACAGGATTGAAACGGGACTTGGGAGAGACAATCAGGACCCACCCGTTGCATTGGTCACCTGGCAAAGGGAACAAACGGTCACCATTTGCATGGGATACCACCATGGCAGAGAACTGACGTCAAGGGCAGAGGAGATAACTTCATTGAAACCAGCAGTGACAGTGACTTCTTCCCTTCCCTTCTAATACCTTTCCTCCCAAGCATCAAATAAATTTATAGGAGTAAACAGTAACTCAGCAGTCAAACAGAACAAGAAGTAACATGAGCAGCATAAAAAAGCAAGGAAGAAAAGGAGTACAAAAAATGTAGGACAGCCTAAATATTCAGGAGGACCTAGAGTCATCAGAATAATGGCCATATAAAGAACTCAAGGAACACCTTAGACAGATGGAATGGAACCTTAAAGAGGATATGAGACAGCAAATTCAAACAGTGAAAGAACACATTGAAAATGAATTACATAAACAGATAAAAGAAGAAGTTAAGCATCTTC